GTAGCCTCCTGCGAGAGAACTCCTACGCGCTCTTCGTCCGGCACCCCAAAGCTGAAGGCCGTCGGATTTTGAGCTGAAGCTACGACACAACGAACCAACCAAAAGCCAACGTGCCCGTGCAGGAAACACCACACCCTTCCTGCCGGCAACGCCCGAAAAAATAGGCCTCCGTACCCCCCCCCTTCCTACCCTCAACCGAAAAGCAAAAAAAAAAAAAACAATCGGTAAAACATATTATCAATCCCTGGTTGTGTGAATGCATGACACTGCCAAAAGACGCATGAGAGAAAGTCCCCCCCCCCTCCCCCAAACCCTAGCAGACTTCATTTGCCAACTCCTTGCCCTCTCCTGCGGCGTGGGGTGGGCGGCGCATGGCTCGAGGAAAGCGACTGTGCTTGTCTGTTGTGAGTAGCAGCAGTAGCGGAAGCAGATGCCTTGGCGACGAGACGGAATATGTGGAAGGGGAGGAAATTGGAAGTGAGTGCCTGAAACACTTTCCTTTGCATTACTGCCAGTGTGCCAAAAAAGAAAAAGAAAAAAAGTTCTAGTGACGTTGTGGTTGCTTTGTGGGCTTTGCTGGTACCACAGGGCAAGAGTTTTATTCCGTTTGCATTACGCCTCGCCGTTGTAAAGTGTTGCGGGGTAAAGTTGGCAGCTTTCTATTGAATTATGTGTAGAAGTTTTTTATCTCTCCGTGGAACATCGACCCACCTGCGGTAAAACGATATGTAGTAATAATAACAATAACAACAACAACACCATCCACCAGAAAGAGTGAGTCCCATCGCAACGGGTCATATATATGCATATATATATATATGGATAAGGGTAGAGAGAGAGAGAGAAAGAAAAGTGTATGCAGTTGGCGGGTTGAATCTTCCTTCCGACCAACGCCATCATCGTTGCATAGCGTATCATAAAAAGGCAAACCTGATGAAGAGATAGACGTTGCGGTGGACCTTTTTTTTTGTTTTTCCTTCTCTTCTCGCGATTTTGTTTCCTTTTTGCAAAAATCGCTGTTGTTGCTGCTGTGTGGGCTAGAGAGCGGAGAGTAATATGTTTGCCATTCCAGCCAGCTTCCAGTGGTCAGATATTATTTTTCTCTTCTGCTGCATGAAGTTGTTCTCGAACGCTGTATTCAGTGGTGTGGGTTGCGCCTCCACCTGGTAAGCCTTGAGTTGGCACACCATACGGTCGAGAAACATGTACTTCCTCCAGTGGATGACAACAATATCGCGTGCCTTCTCCTTCGGCTTGGTTGAGGGGTAAAGTTCATCTGTGCGAAGAGAGAGGAAGGAGGGCATCTCGAGGTTCAGCCGCGTCATTTTCCCCAGGTAGTGCTGAAGCGGCGGAAGGAGTGGGTGAACGTCAGTGTCCGCAATGCCCCGCATGTAACTTTCCAGCGCTTCCCCGCGTGCCACCTCCTCCGAGCCACACACCCCGAGAATCCCATGGAGGTGAGCAACGTTTTGCAGCGTACTTTCAGGAAGCAGTGCGACGACGCGTGGCTGCGTCGTTACCCGCTGCAAGATCGGGTGCTGCAGGCCCCGGTGCACCGCAACCGCCGCATGCAAATTATTCAAGCGCACGAGGGCAACAAGAAGTTCAACGAGTCGCTGGTAAAGATGCACGAAATTTGCGGCGGGGGACGACGTATGCCTCGCACCCCGCATTCGGTGGCCGTCAAGGGCCGCCGCGTGCAGGAGAACAGATACCGTCCACAAAGAAAGATCCGTCGAGGAGGCGAGAAACAAGCCTACAGGTGCGAGGAGGAAGGCACTAGAGCTCAGGTAGGCGGCGAAGGAGCGGTAGGCCACTGCTAGTACATGTTCCGGCTGAATCATGTTGAACAGGCGCAAATGAAGAGATGTGAGTCCCACGGCGTATTGCTCCACCGACAGCGTAAGGGCGAGTGTGACGACATCCTGTAGACTTCCTGTCGAACACCCAGTAAGAAATTCGTCTGCGGAACCGGCGTCGGACAAGGCACACTGTGAGAGAGTACATGGCGGACCCTCCTGCATGCCCACAAAGAGATTTTCTTCGGTCACCGTCCCGCAAGTAGTCGAGGGTGATGGCAAAGTGGGTGGCTCATCACACAGCCGGTGCTGCCGTGCCGTGGTGGTGCCGCCTCGTTTATGTTGCGTGGCGGCTGCAGCACTCGCTGAAATGCTGATCCGCGCAAATTCTATCATTCCTTGAAGCTGCGAAGGGCAATCACCCCACAGTTGAGGAACCGAGGCACAGTCGTCTAAAAAGAGGTGTATGCTGTGACGCATTGTGTCATCGAAATGCTGCGGGTATTCGCGCAGCCAAAGCGTTAACACCGACATGACACGCATTTGTATACTGCGGCAGACACACAACCAAAGCGAGGCGCTGGGAGAGAAGCTGCCCGCTCGTCCTTCCACGGCTTCCGCCTCACTGTTGCGTGTGGCTCCCACACTTGACGTGGTTAGGATGGAGGAGAAAGACGTCCCCGGCGCATGCACGCTAATGCCGTGCGCCTCAAAATTGTCAAACTCAAGTTTCACCGACAGCGGCACCATAAACCGTTCTATAAGCTTGATGAGTACCGTGGACGACGACGCAAAGTAGCGGTGCTGCCGCAAAAACGCATGTGTGAATTCCTCCTGTGCCAAGAGCTTCTCTTCAGAGCGGGTTGAGAGAGGCAGCACAGTGACGTGCGTCAATGCCTCTATAAGTTGATGCAGCGTTCCAAACGCGGGTATCGCATGCCCCCCCCTCTCCAGCCGTCCAACGTACACGGCGTCCACGTCATCCTGCACGGACCACATGTGTTTTTCGTTTGGGTCCAACGCATACAGCAGAAACGCCGCGTCGGGTGCCGGCAGTCCCATCGAGTGAAACTGTGCATGAAGCTTCGTGGCACCGTCCAAAAGCAGATGACGCACCACCACTCTCGTGGCCACCGAGGGGCTGAGGCACCACTCCAACGCGCCGGAGGACGGCAAAAGTGTTGCGCCGTTTTCATACGTCGATTGTGTACGCGTCTCTGCGCTGCGGGCAGTGGCCCGTGCGGCTTCCGCCTCGCGCCGCATATCAGCGACCACCTCCCGCATCCCAGCACACTGCAGATACTCCGTCACAATTTCATGGAGTGTGTGAGAGCTAATCGGCGGGTTGCGCTTGCCCACCGTGGGGGCGGCGTCTGGCGGGGCAGCCATTCGACGAACGCTCTTGCCCTGTGAGGCACCACACCGTGTGTGAGGTGTGCGGCACACACACGTACACAGCGAGAAAGTGACGACGTGCACCCCTTGCTTGTGCCGGCAAATGCGAGAGAGTGGGGGATGTAAAAGAAGAAGGCGGAATAAAAACAACCACACCGACGCACATGCGACGCCCAAACAAAAAAAAAAAAAAGAAACTAACCTCATCTTAGAAACGGCCCCATGAAAAGGAATGTCAGCAGCACAATTAAGTGGATAGACTCAGCTTAGATTCACTGAGAAGCATTTCCACCTGCTCACGCCACACAGCGTTGGCGTCATCAATACGTGCGTTGGTCAAAAACACACCCTACTACATTTCATATTTACATTTTACATGCCCCCAAGCTTTTTCTCTTCTTCCTTCTCGCCCTATATCTAACAACAACAACAAAGAAAAAAAAAAGCGTACTTAACGACCAAGCAGGAAGAAACTCCCGCCTCCATGACCTCGGGCCTGCGCTCACACACCCGGGCGGTTTGTAGCATCGGGCTCAATAAAGCGTAAAACGGGGTAGAAAACCTCATTCTCTGCATGACATTTTTTCATGCGCTGAACCATGTCAAGAATATCCTGCTGGGTGAAGCACTCAAACTCACTCCCATCGAGCGTATCCATATTCAGCAGCAAGAAACGTAAATCGGTTTCCAACAAGGGTTGCTGCGCCGACCAAAGATCCCTTTCTCGTCCAGGAACCGCCTCAGCCAGAAGTAACGCACGAAACGAGCGGTTTTCAAGACTTGACGCTACCTGCTCTTCCAGAAAATTTTTCAATGCCAATGACAACACATCAATACCCTGCCTTCTCGTTTCTCGCTCGGATTCGGCGCAATCAAGACCTATTTTGGTGGCAACGCGGTCATCACAGGCCACTTCAGCCGCCACGCACGCACCGCCTACTGTGACGGAGTGAATGCACAGCGCGGCACGGGGAATATAGTCATTCAGGAAAAGACACGGTGTACGATCAATTGCCGCTGCAAGCAATGGGCACTCTGAAAGCAGTTTCAAGGCATCCCCCCCATACACGCATGAAACACCAACATACGGCAGACTACCAAGACTCGATTTTGAGACACGTTTGCTCTTGGGAAGATGGAAGGCGGAGGGCACAAACGTAGATGCAATCTTTGAAAGTGGCAGATGCAGCGGGATGGTCTGAATGACAAAGCATTTAAGCCCAAGCGCGTCAACGGCACCCACCAACTCCATTCGTCCCTCCGTTGACAGCCACCGTGGACACGGCACAATGGCCACGAATGGCGTTTTCGCCAGTAAACCATTGATGTGGTACCACTTTTTAATCATCTCCTCCCCAAGGTTGTTCTCGGTGCGGCGTGCAACCCAGTCAGTAAAGGAACCATCGCCTAGCGAACTGGCCTCTGCGTCCTGCACTTGTTTTGTCAACCGATCGCTCTGCTCCTTTTGGACTGCCTCGGTGAGAAAAAAACGATGCACTTCCTCGTTCCAGGCATTTTGCTGGCTCCGCATTTGACCGACAACCGCTAAAATATTCTCTACCATTTCTGTGGGTGGTGGAATAACCACCTCGTGATCGTCGCCCAATTCACTCATCCTCCGTTTGTTTTCCCTGAATCTGTCAAAGCAGGGGGTTGTGTGGCTGCCGCCTCCCTTTCCTTTTACTTTTCCTGCCCTCAAGTGAGTTGGCCGACGATGCCCTTTGCTTTGTGGCTCCACCTTGCAGTTGTGGTGGGAGAGTCAAGACTAGCGACGGCCGTGCCCCCCACTCCCCCTTTTCCCCCCACCGCCCCGCATCCGAGTGGGAAGGTGGCAATAAAGAAACAGAAAAAAAAAAAAGAAGTGATATATGCTCAACAAAAGGGAGGTGCGTCGCCGCATCTCTTCATCTTCTTCCCCGCCCACCCTCTTCGTTTTTTAGTTATTTTTAAATTCTCCACGATTCACGGAAAACCACTTAACTTGTCCGCTGTTGCAGAGGTACACATATTTTTTTGACAAGAAACAAGGCATGTTTTTCTCTCAGCCCGGGTTATGCGTCTTCGTTTTGCCTTGCTTCGTGTGTGTTGCCGCCTTCATTACTTTCCCCCGTTCTTTGTGCGTGCCTACATTTATGTGCATGCGTATTTCACCTTCGTTCTCGGGTCCTGTATTTAAGTCAATATTATGCTCCCTCCTGCTTTCAGCGCGGGGCAATGCCTCCGCACCTGCCTGCATCTACGCCAGCGAAAGTTTCTCCTTGAGGTTCTTCTTGTTCACCTTTCCTGTGGGGTTCCGCGGGATCTCGGGCAGAAGTATGAAGCGGCTCGGACACTTGTAGTACGAAAGAAAACTACGTGCCACAGCCTTAAGCTCTGCATTAAGTTCGGGCGACTCAAAGCGGTCAAAATCAGGTGGAATGTTCCACTTCTGCAGCGCGGCTGGCTGGGGCGTGATAATCGCCACCACCTCCTCCCCCAACATGTCGTCCTTGCAGCCCACGACGGCAATCTCAAAGAAAATGTCTTGACGGGAGAGCAATGCAGCCTCAATTTCCAACGCAGAAAGTTTAAAACCACGACACTTTAAGATATCCATGCTGGAGCGACCAAGAATGGTGAAGATGGCACCCTCTTCTTCGTTTCGCGGCTTGCTTACACCGACGGTGTCACCGGTTTCAAAGTAGCGACGACCCTCTTGGCTCACAACGAGTACCTTTTTGGTCTCCTCAGGGTTTCTCCAGTAGCGATCAAACAAGGACTTGGAGGCGATGGCGAGTTGGCCAATCTCATCATAATTTCCCTGGACTCTTTCTCCACCTGCAGTTCCACTTTCCTCTCCAGTGGCGGCTGACGCGCTATGTACAAATGCCCGCACCGTCGGCAGCGGTGAGCCGACAGTGCCAGGGATACGCTTCTCCATGGGCCGAAGCGGATGGCTCAGCGCCATCCCAATCTCAGTCATACCATAACGCTCTAGCAGGGTGTGCCCACTGATCTCACGAAATGCATGGATTATAGGTACTGGGAGTGGTGCACTACCAGACACCATGAGACGCACATTCTGCGAGACGGCGTTTTTGAACCCCGCCTGCTCAATTGGCGACATCTTTTGATTGACGGCGGCAATCAACTTGGTGTACATGGTAGGTACCCCCATCATAAGCGTAATATCTCCGCGCTCAAGCCTACGAACAATACGAAGTGGATCATCGAACTTCGTCAAAATACAACGCGCATTGGAGGCCAAAGAACACAGCAGAATATTTACAAGTCCATGTATGTGGTAAACGGGTAGCGTGTGGAGAATTGTGTCCTTGGAGGACCATTCCCATGCTTTACGCAGTACCCGCACCATGTTTTGGAGACTTGCATGGGTATGAACAGCACCCTTGGGTCTCGCCGTAGTGCCTGAGGTGTAAATCATCACACAATCATCGTGTTTGCTTGGTCGGGTGGCGTACTCCTCTGCCCAAAGACGATGAACGACGTTAAGGGAATCAAGGTGGTCAGTATCGTAGAAGAGGCCAGTTCCATCTTCGGCGTCGGTAACGGCACAGTGCGCCTTGAAGTGCTCCCGTATCATGTACTGACGCAATGCCTCACGGCACTCCTCAGAGACTGCCTTCTCGTCTGAGATTTGGCTCATAATGTCGTGCGCATCCTTGAGATGGTGACGCTCCTCCTCAGAGAGCAAATGATCGGGCAGAATTACTGTTGTCGCAGCCTCGGAAATCTCGCGTTTTTCTTGAATTTTCTCAAGCAGTTTCTGCACATCAAACAAAGTTTCTACATCGTACGTACTCGGTGCAGAGGAGGAGGTTGTGGAGAATGCAGCCGCCATGGGATTGTGAAGACTACTGAAGCTGCGCACCAGGAGTGCGTCGTATTGTCGTGGTAAATTTTCCTTCAACGGGACTGTGTCGCCCATCACTGCTCTGCTCTTGCTGTGTTCCAAAATATATAAAAGCTCCGCTGTGCAGTTCTGGGAAGCAGGGATCGGGACAGCCATTTGGTTCAGTGACCAGGCCGCCAGGAGGGAGACCACAAAGGTGTAGCCAGTGGTGCCAATAATGGCCACGTTGTGCTGCCCGTCGTCTTTCATGAAATCGCAGCTCAGCACCCCGCCATCGCCATCCGCAAAGACGCTTCGCACGTTGCTCGGTCGTGGCTGCTGCAGCCAACTTAACGAAGGCTTCCCACGAGCCACCGTCATCGCCTCTCGCCTCTCGGTGATGACGTTCGACATGGAGAGCACGTCCTTCTGCAGCTGCCCATATGTATAGCGCTCCGTACGCCCTCCTGGAAGCTCCACTACGATCGCCTCCTCCTTCACGGGGGCGGAAAAGACGCTCTGAAGGATGGAATTGTAGCCGAAGAGGGTGGCGAAGGGGACCTTGTCCAGCCGCCACCGGGAAATACGAAACATTGCGTCTTTGTCAGTTTTATTGCTTTTATTACTTGACAGCTAGGCTTTGGCACGCCCGCTCTCCGTTCTGCCTCTCGGTATGGGAGGAAGAAAAGCAGAAGGCCAACAGACCAGAAAAAAGAAAAAAAAACGACAAAAACAACAGTAATAATAAATAGGGGATACGCTGTGGGTGGAGACAAACCCGCATACGCACCGCCGCGTGCATTGCCGCACAGCCCGGCGAAGGAGAAGCATGAAAAACAGCCACACCGACGACATCACCCCCCCCCCCCCGCGGTTGACAAAAAAGCCCACCTAAAAAAAGACAAAAACAAAAAAAAACTGTGCGCGGGGAGCACCGGCGCGAGAGGGGCGAACACACGTGGTGGTCGCACAAACGTTATCCGCAGCCAACACCGCACGCAAACGCGCTGCGGTTCCCAAGGCACGGCGAGACTTGCCGGAAGCAGCTTCCGCAGCGTGCGCAAAGACAACCGCACCGCCAGCAATAATTGGCCAATGTTGTGGTAGTATCCAACACCGCACCCCAGCCGTGACTAAATGTTCTGGCGGTGACCGTTGGGCCGGTGTGAGCCCCTTCGGCTTGCACTTTAGCCTTGTGTGCAACGCATTTCGCAAAGAAGGTGCCCACGGCAAACCGTCTTTGCCAGTCGAGTGCGGAAGCTCCTTCCCAGGCGACGACCGTGCAACTTAAGTGTGCCCCCTACCGGACTCACACTCTCTTCGGCGGCCCTAGCGCATTCTTCTTTCTCAGCCGTTGCCGCTCTCAGCGGGCAGGAATAAATGAACGGCTCCACGCCCTCATCTCACCCTGCGCCACAGTACAGCCTCTTGCAAGACTTCGCACCTGCCTGGACAAATAGTCCCTTTTCTTTCCGGTATCGTGCCCCAGCCCTGTTTACCACGACGACAAGAACACAGCGTCCAACACGGAACCTCCCCAGCTGGTTGGCCGCATGCGTGGCTGAAGGCGCGGTGGGAGAGGTGAACACACCGGGTGAGTGAGAGAAAAGCCAAGAGAGAAGTGAAATGATAAAACTCACCCAATATATATATATAAAGCATGCCAGTCTCACACCTGCATGCAGGGTACCGCAAGCAGCACGGATGAAATTGAAGAAGCCCACAAAAGCCCAACAGACACACAAATAAAGAAAGAAGCCAACATACATCCATCGCAAGATAAAAGCAAAAACACACACTGAACACAATAGAGTGAGATACTTGCAGCTCCTTGGCTCTTACTCGCATTCCACGCCTTTCTTCTTTCCGTAGCTGCCTCCTCCCCTGCTTCGCCACGCTCAGCCAAGCAAACCGCCCCAAGTAATCTCCACGCCAACGGAAGAGAGCCCCGGAGGCACATATACAGACCCCCCTCCCTACCCACAAAGTAAAGAAGACGAAGGAACATCCAAGACAAACAAAGTGAATCCAATATATATATATATATATGCATGTATGTATGTCTCCTTGTCTCCCGCACTGGCCATACATCAGACGTAGACATCTGGTTGATTGAGTCAATTGCGCATCGACCCTCCTCATTTTTCACGGCACGTAACGTTCCTCGCTTTATCCCCCAATCCAAATCCCTTTCGCTTTTTTTTGTTTTTCCTTCTTCTCGCGTGTTTCCCCCCTGTGTGTTTTCTGCGCCTTCCTGCAGCTACGGACGGCACACGCTGCAAAACGCAACACTCGTCCCAATGAACATGCCACTCACGCGTGTAGTGTACGGTGGTATACCGCTTATGCCACACACCTGTTGGGCGTTGCACCCTCGCACTTCTTTCCTCACATCCCCCTTTCACCACCTTTCTTCCCTCCTCTTCCGATGCCCCCTTCCTTCTCTCTCACACATACAGACGCAAATGCACTCACCCACACATACACGCCTCCTTTTTTGGGGCTCCCCACTCTTCTTTTCACTTCTTCACCATAGACGTAAGTTTCGGCACCGCGACGAAGAGGTCCTCCACAAGGCCGTAGTCTGCCACGTGAAAGAACGGTGCGTCAGCGTCGTTGTTGATGATGGCAATCACCTTCGAGTCCTTCATCCCAGCCACGTGCTGAATCGCCCCGGAGACACCGCATCCGAGGTAGAAATTCGGCGCCACCGTCTTGCCTGTCTGCCCAATCTGCATCTCGTTGGGGCAGCAGCCAGTGTCCACAACGGCGCGCGTCGCACCTACCGCCGCCTTCAGCGGCTCTGCTAGGTCATTGAGAAGTTTAAAGTTCTCAGCATTCTTCAGACCGCGGCCGCCGACGATGACATTCGCGGCCGTTTGCAGATCTGGTTTGTCCGTCGCGGCGACAGCGTCTTTAATCCACCTGGACGTTCCCCCAGCCTTCGTGGCCGCCACCTCTTTGATTTCGGCGCTACCGCCCTCCATCGGCGCGCGTTCGAAGCTGGTGCCGCGGATGGTGGCGTACTTTACCGGGTCTGACGTCTTCACTGTGCTGACCACGTTGCCGGCGTACATGAGGCGAACAAACGTGACGTCGTCCTTCACCTCCGTTACATCTGTGATCGGCATCGCGTCTGCCCTTGCCGCGGCGCGGGGAATCACGTTTTTTCCGAACGCCGAAGTGCCTGCAAAGATGTGCGTGTACCCGTCGTTCACCACGGAGGCAATGAGGGGGGCGTACTCCTCTGGCATACCCTTTTCGTAGTGCTCACCCTCCGCGACGAGGACGCATTCCACCCCCTTCACATTGGCGAGTGCCGCCGCCGTCTTCGCAGCGTCCTTTCCGGCGACGAGGGTACTAACGGGGCCGACCTTCAGTCCCGCCGTCACAGCGGCGAGTGTGGAGGGGGCGACTTTTCCGTTGTGCATCTCCGCCACAACAAGCACCTTGCCGCCCAGGACAGAGAAGGTGCGGCGCAGCATCTTTTATTTATTTGTTCTCTCTTCGCGTCTCTGATTTCTTGAGAGAGGCCTTCAAGCAGTGGCTTTGTGGAAAGTTGCAATGGATGAATACAATGCGGTGTGTGAGGGACGACACTCTACCGGGCGAAGGGAAAACACAGGCAAGCAAGGAGACACAGAGGCAGATGAGACTCCATCGCGGTCGCCAAGGGCGCCCAGCAGTCACGCCCTCGAGGGAGGGTGCACTGCGGCGGGCAAAGCGAAGGCGGCCCGCACCGTCCAACGGCCAAACAACAGCGAGGAACACTGCAAGGGGGAGGCCAAGAAGCAAATAAGCCACAACCGTACATAAAAACGAACAACAATAACAACCAAAAAAAAAAAAACTCCACACTCACACCTTTGCGCTCTTGCTCTCCTTCTGCCAGTGATGCGCCGATGGCGCGCGTTCCGGTGCGGCATTATCGACAATCGGGGTGCTGCAGCAGCGAAACTTTCCACGGGTAAGCAGCAAGCAGGACGGAAGCTTCGACGTCGTTGTTTCCTGCAGCGTGTCCAACAACGTCTCGGCCTGCCGCCGCAATTTGCAGTCCCTGTCACTCTTGTCACTGCTGTCGCGTCCGCTCCACCTCCGCGCACACGGAGGTGTTGATGACACCGGAGATTGTTTGCGAGCTCGCAAAGCACCGCTCCATCGACGCAAAGCCACACACGTCATGGTGCTCCACCACGTCTTCCAGTGCAATCACAAACACCTACGCCACCAACCGATGCACCTTCAGTACCGCGTGGATTTCCTTCACTTCCTGCGGCACATCATCTCTCCGTGGTTACACGGAGACCACACGAGCAACCGCGCACTTTTTGCAGGCGTGCGCCAGACGCAGGCAGTACGCTATGAGGAAAAGAGCAACGTCGCCCTTGTCAGGAGGCCACAGATCAATAATAAACCACTTCCGTTCTTTTCCCTTCATCTCAAGACCCTCGGTGTCCAGCAGATCGATACTCCGTGCAATAACCACGCCCATAAAGGCATGCACCGCATCACGTAAGATGCAGCAGAACTCTGTCTTGTCACGGTACCCAACAAGATCCGGTCCTCCGATTCGCCAAGCAATGTGGCGGTGCACCACAAACAGCGTAACAAAAGGGCAACAGCAAAACGCAATGCCCACAAGAGACAACCAAAGTCCACACTCACCAATAATCCACGGCAAAAAAAAAAAAAGGACAAAACAGAAAACGACTACCACACCGAAAATAGAGATTGAAACGGGAAGGAACACCTCATCCCATGTCCGCCTCGCCACCACAAAGATGAAGTCGTTGTGAGTCACAGTCACGGGCAAAGTTATTGACATTGACTTACGCAGCTTCAGGCGTCGCAGATCTTTGCCAACTCCACGTCACACGCATCATCGCCGTCCCGTCGTAGCCACCAAAATCCTCGCACTCGGTAGATGCATGGGGTGTGTTAGAGCCCCCCCCTCCCTCTGCCCGCCTAATCGCATCCCGCGCTAAGGAAGAAAAAAAGTTAGGATGACTTGGCCATGTACCTCCCTTCTCCATCACTCAATCTCACCTTGGGCATTTACTTCCCTACTCGCACGCAAGCGTCTTCTC